TAGTTAAAGCTCTGCCATTCTTTCCATCCCATATTAACAAATAGAACTATCTTTCTTTTCAACCCAGAGATTTCAGATATATTTCGGAACTGCTCTATGAACAGTTCAATTCCTTCCCAGTCCTCCCAAAGATGCCTTCCTGCCTTATTTCTCTTAGACAAACAAGCTATAATAAAAGATTCTATTGTATCAGCCAGCTTTTCTGCCACTTGGGCTGTGAATGCAACACCCCCATATCTGGCCTCATGTAACTTTTTATGCTTGCATCTTTGTATTACTCTTTGTGGCTAAGAAACTTGCAAGATCTGACTCCACCTTGGTTAGTCAGTGCATAAGTTTTGCTGGTGTAATAAATAGCGTTCAAAAGAAAATTTCCGTTTCAGCAACAATACAATATCTGCACATTCAATCAGATAGACCAGATAAGCCTCCCCTTGGTGTTTTCTGCAGCAGCCAGGTAGAAGCTTCGAAATGGAGTTCTCTCATTCTCCCTGAAACAAATCCTTCATTTTTATGTGAATCCTCTGTTCAAATCTGTTCTTTAGGAGGATTATTTGTTTCTTTTTCTGATAGGAATGCATTAACTATTCCTTCTTTAAGTCCAAAATCTCTGTTCAACTCTTCCTTTCTGGTTTGGAAAGAGAATAAACAAGTGTATTACTTTGGTCATACATCAAAATCCTATCCGCAGAAAATTATGGCATCTTCACATTGAACATGGATCAGAAACATTTTATTATGGAGTTTAAACTATGTGCTGCTGTCTTGGGTTGTGTGGTGCACAGGAGAGTTACCACTCTAAAAGGAAAAACATAAAAGCAAACATATTTGCATCACACCCTGTCAACTACAAACCTGACCACAGGTGTTTGCGCCTGAATCACAGGAGAGGATTATGAGTTCACCCAGTTCTTGCACACTTCATTGCTTTACAGCAAAGCATACTTTTTTCTTTTTGCTAAATGTCATTGAAATCACCAGGCAGCTTTTAAAGTAAGTCACGCCACTTGTTTTTAAAAAGACTTTTGAGCCTTCATGACAGAGCCAACTTTTCAGAAGCCTGAGCTTGCTGGCTTTGATTTTTAGCTCTAACCTCTGAACTTTTTGCTACTCCTCATTAAAGTGATTAGAACCTTCTTCCAGGAAGGATTTGCAAAACAAGTCACCCAAGTACAGACGGCTCAGCTGGAGACTGTACACTGACCTCCTAAGAGTGGCATGGAATGGGGTGCCCTTGAACTTACATCCCACTTCAGGTGCTCCCTTTATCCATTATTTGTTTTCTTTTTTTCCCCCCAGATTGGTTTGGTACCTTTCCTTCCATCTAAACATCACAGTATTATGTTCTATCTTTTATACTGGTGCTTCTATTTCCTTTTTCCACATGCCTTTTTTGTCTTACTTTTCTTTCTCCCTACTGACAATACACTCAGCACATTTCCATTCTATAGTTTGTATGTGTTACACTAGTATTGTTTCCAGGCACCAACATTCATCCTTTAAGCACCTCCACCTGAAAAATCCACATTATCTTTTAAAAATATTAGGGGCCAGGTGCGGTGGCTCACACCTGCAATCCCAGCACTTTGGGAGGCCGAGGCAGGTGGATCATGAGGTCAGGAGTTCAAGACCAGCCTGGCCAATATGGTAGAACTCTGTCTCTACCAAAAATACAAAAATTAGCCAGGCGTGGTGGTGGCTATAATCCAAGCTACCGAGGAGGCTGGAGCAGGGAATTCCTTGAACTCAGGAGGCAGAGGTTGCAGTGAGCCAAGATCAGCCACTGCACTCCAACCTGGGCGACAGAGCAAGACTCCATCTAAAAATAAAACAATTAGCCTGTTTGGGAATTATGTTTACTCCATACCTACTTCTTCATATTCTTATTAAGCAATGACACCCTTCTCTATTGTTTTCAATTTTTTGGCTTTTTTCTCTTTTCTTTCAAATTAATGCTCAGTTGGTGACTATCCTTTTGTCAAAAGATGAGATTTTAGTGATTTCATTTCAAATCAAGCATTGCTTCTAAATCTTAACTTTAAAATATCATGCCATCTTAATACCAGCCTATGTTCAACTAACTAATGAAACTTCCTGACTCAAATTAGCACAATTAAATGCTGGTTTGTTATATAACATGTATTTAGAGCGTACGTGTAATATGAATAACAAACTTTGTCATTTAAACATGATTTTGCAGAAAGTATGTCATTACCTCTGACATGTACTCTGTGGTATAGGCATTATTGTCCCTACTCTGTGGATGGACTGAGAACCAGAGTTTTAACGTAGTTTGCATTTTGTCACAGGGCAAAACTGGTTCCAAATCCATGTCTTCTGATTCTTAACCCTGGATTTCTTTCATCATACATCAGGCTACCGTTTGACTAAATTCTCGTGCATCTACTTCAATTCCAGGCGAATCTGAAGAAGAATTAGTGGCCTGAGTGTAAGCATTTTCTTCACATCGAAGGAAATCAAGATATACTTTATATCATGCCTTATTTTTTGGTTTATAATTTCCTGGTCTATATTAACTAATTTTTCTTTATATGCTTATTGATTGTATTTACATTTCTCAGGGTTTTTGATTTTGCTGTACTTGTGGCTACTATGCAGTATGCTTTAGACCTCTCTAGGCTTCTCCCAGCATTTGTGTGTACTCGCATTCACAAGACTAGCATGAAAGTAGTTGAAAGGCTGGGTGCGGTGGCGCACGCCTCTAATCCCAGCACTTTGGGAGGTCGAGGCAGGCAGATCACAAGGCCAGGAGTTTGAAACCAGCCTGACCAGTATGGTGAAACCCTGTCTCTCCTAAAAATACAAAAATTAGTCAGGCTTGGTGGCACATGCCTGTAATCCCAGCTACTCAGGAGGCTGATGCAAGAGAATCGCTTGAACCTGGGAGGCGGAGGTTGCAGTGAGCCAAGATCTTGCCACTGCACTCCAGCCTGGGCAACAGAGGGAGACTCCATCTCAAAAAAAAAAAAGAAAGAAAGAAAGTAGTTGAAAATAACTGCATCTTTTATATGCAGTTCATGGTGGAACATTTCCTCTGGGCTGGAAGTATTCCACTGACATATTTCATACGGAATACATTCATCACTGTTGGTCTCATAGCAGCTTAGTGCATATGCAAAATCTCCCCTCATTTAGTCCTTTACAGAATTCTCCCAAACACACTGACATGTGACATGTCCATTTCATCCTCCAATATGATCACTTTCACAAATTGTTGCACTAATGTTTCTTTAACAGTTAATAACCTCTCTAGAAAATAACTCAACTTTGTTGCACATACATTTAACTAAAATGATTTTCATAGTTTGGTGACCTAATTATTTGAAACTGTTATTGCTAGTTCCTTACTAACAGAGTGTTTTTCATATATTCAAGTTGAAATACCATCATTTGGTCACAATTGTCTCTCAGTTATCGTCAGAGTACGATAACAGTGGTCTTTATTTTTACATGAATAACTCTTTTGCAAGGTTTTGGATTTTGTTTAATGGCAGGTTGAAAAATAAGCCATTCAAATATAATAAACATTGTACTATGTATATGCATCTCGTTCAACAGCAAAGAAAATTTATTGATGAATAATACAGAATTTTCCATAATATTGATGTTAAGACTCTACCCTGAATATTCCTTAATTTTTCTCAGTAATTCATTATGAATCTATTGCCTCCACTAAAAAAATTCTCAAAACTATATTTTTCAAGTATCTTTTGGTTTCTTGTATTTAACCTGGAAGTAAACATACTTTTATTTGGCTTTGAACTACCACATTCAAGGATTAACAGTGAGTCATTTACTGAGATTCATCACATAGTTGTTTTCTGTTTTTTTGTTTTTTTGTTTTTTTATGGTTTTATCATTCTTCAACACATCTCTGGTAAGTTTTGTCCTGGTAGACCAAAAAAAACCTTTTTTTTTTAGAAGCTGTCCTACAGTTTTGGATAGTTTTAGAGCCTGTGTTGTAACTTTTTCCCGGTCTCTTCTTCCTAGGACCCTCATTTCTCCTTGCCACTGCTTTGTACTGTGTGGTTGAAATTGAGTCATGATCAGAGTAACTCCCTTAATATGATTTTTGTGTTGTTACTCATGCCAAGAAATGTTAAAAGTAGATAGACAGACAGACAGATGATAGATAGACAGATGATAGACAGACAGACAGATAGATAGGTAAAAGTCTCTTGATTTTTTTCATTTTTCATAAGGAAGAAAAGCCTATTCAAACCACATGAGTAAAGATAAAAACATAATTATAAGAATGCTGGGCCTCAGGCCTGTAATCCCAGCACTTTGGGAGGCTGAGGCGGGTGGATCACGAGGTCAAGAGATCGAGACCATCCTGCTCAACATGGTGAAACCGCGTCTCTACTAAAAATATAAAAAATTAGCTGGGCATCAGGTGGCACGTGCCTGTAATCCCAGCTACTCAGGAGACTGAGGCAGGAGAATTGCCTGAACCCAGGAGGCGGAGGTTGTGGTGAGCCATATCGCACCATTGCACTCCAGCCTGGGTAACAAGAGCGAAACTCCGTCTCAAAAAGAAAAAAAAGAATGCTGTGGTGTTTCATGGAACCCGAAGGCAGAAAGTACAACGATGCACTGCCATGGACTGGCACCACATGGGAGGCAGGAAGGAAGGTTCCAGCTCTCTCAGCTTAGTGTTTTCTGTGCATAAAACCACCATTCATCCAGGCTGTACATCTGTCTCTAAGCTGTTCTGCTTCCATCCTAAATTACCAGGAAAGTTGCATGGTTTCTCTTCAAATCGTATAAATCTTTCTTTCTTGGTAATTTGGTAAAAGGCAAATCTGATTGGCCTAAGAAGAAACCTTCAACCCTATTTCAATCAGAAGTGGCCTGATGGCCTTGGTCAAAGATATTAACTGACGTTGAGGCTACACTCCCCTCAGAACACTCTGTACAATATTTAATAAAGGTATGTCAACATTCCTATTAACTTGTCTATTTTGAATATCTTTCAGATAAAATGTACAGGTACTCCAATGACTACATTCCCAGGTATGTTGAGATTGAGTCATGTATCATGATTCCCAACTAGTAAGTGAAAGTCACAATGCTATATTGCTTATAGATATCGCTCACGGATGTGGTACTTAGATTAAAATAAAATAAAAAGTGAGTTTTAATTATGTCTCTTCTCATCTAACTATTAGAAGCTATAACATTATCTGCCCTAGTTATTTGCACACTGTGAGTCAGTGAGAGAGCTGGCTGAAGGATAAAATGAGACTCTAACCTGGTATCTGTAGAATTCTCATTAATTTCAAGAGCAGATATCTTCGATTATGATCCAGCTTAGATACGGAATTCCAAATCTATAGTAGAAAAGAATCCGGCAACCTAATACAATTTAAGATATGTATACACATTGATATATACAGGGATGCTTAGCCCTCTGCTATTTGTAAAGATAATGTCAGTCAGTAGGGAAATGTGATAAGCAGATTCTCTGAAAGAATATGCAGTTATAGATATAACTTATTCTCTTTAATAGTTATTGAGCTAGTTGCAAATAAATTTGTAAAGTAGTATACTTTTTAAAAAAAAAGCATTTATGGCATAAATTATAGTAAATAAATTTTACTTTTTTTGGATAGTATATTCTGACCCAGATGTGTCAATGTATTGGAGATTTCTTTTTCAGGAGTAAAAGAAATTCTAAATAAAGAGAATTTCCTAGAGGGCTCTTCAAGATCTTTCTGAAATGGTAGACTGAAAGGTCTCTGAAAAACATAGCTTTTTTCTCACTGGGTAGGATAAGATTATAAGCCTTTTTGGTCTTTTTTTTTTTTGAAACGGAGTTTTGCTTGTTACCCAGGCTGGAGTGCAATGGCGCCATCTCGGCTCACCGCAACCTCCGCCTCCTGGGTTCAGGCAATTCTCCTGCCTCAGCCTCCTGAGTAGCTGGGATTACAGGCACGCGCCACCATGCCCAGCTAATTTTTTGTATTTTTTGAGTAGAGACGGGGTTCACCGACCTCGGCCTCCCAAAGTGCTGGGATTATAGGCGTGAGCCACCGCACCCGGCTGCCTTCTTGGTCTCCTAAAGGTTTTTTTAAAAAAACAAAATTATTTTTCCATATGAAAATCTTGAGCAAGTATAAGATCTGGGCTGCAGGCACACGCTCACACACAAAATCTTTGTTTATCTGACCACTCTTAACATTGGATTCTTTGATAATTTCCAAGTCATTAGCTTATTAAATCAAGAGTGATTTGCTTATTGCTCTTTCATATTTTTTTTAACAACACATAATGGTGAAGAAAATCCTATATAACCACACAATAAAAGCTAATCTCTTTAATGATCTATTTAATACTTGTAATTTGAAGGGCAATTAAGATGGAATGTAATAGAAAGCCTTGTGATTTGATCATTGTGCTAAATTAGGTTGGTGGTTTAGGGATTAGGATGGGAGGAATGAGAGGAAAAATTGATAAGATTGCTGCATCAAAGCAATCAGGCTCTTAGCTGTAGAGCAAATGTAAGAAAGAGGCTTTTATAACATATATTCATTCAATAAATATTCACTCAACAAATAGGTACTGTGCTAGACAATTGCAAAATATGTTTGCTGAATACCAATCCCAAGGGAGGATGTAGGATAGCAAAGATCGTTACTATGCCAACTACCAAGAGGCGGCGTCCGAGTACTTCAGCCCGTTGTATCTTGAGCTGCACATTTACTACTTGCCTGAGTCTGGTAAGAGAAATCACACAAAGAATGGGTTACATAAAGTGAGTGTATTACTTACAGATACACAGCAAAGGACAACCAACGTCTAAGATTCATTAGGAGCGAATTCCCCAAGGCTCAGGAAAGCTGCCCAAGGTGGATAGAAACTCATCTTCCTGTTCCCCACCTGCACTGCCACTGAAGGACCCCAGAAAGCAGCCCACCTTTGGGTTTATCCCTGACGGGCAACAGAATATGCTGAGCTAAAGCACTGAAGGATGTCCTGTTTCTATGAGAGACTGGAAGAAAACCTACGCTGTTCCAGCCAATTCTTCTTTATCCCTGAATGTTGCATTTCCAGCACATTCTACAGTTATTCTTAAAAATTATAAGTGAGAAAGAAAGAACTCGTTTGGTGCAAAGTCACCCAGAGAACTGTCCTTCAACAGCAAAGATACAAAGATGGAAAGGCAAAAATCTTTCCCGTAAGGATTAATAATCTATTGTCTATTGTAACAAATCTCTAGTTAGCCAAAATTTGAATATACAATGCAGATTTTTTCTGTAAAAAAGGATTCATGTTTTAATCTGCAAGTTTATGTATATACATTATATTTTGTCTATTTCTCTTGATTACGTGGGTTGGGAACCAAAAATCACTTTTGTAAAGGGGCATGGAAGCTTCACAAACAAATAAGCAAACTAAAAACCATCTCACTCCATTAAACACTAAAACAGAGCAAGTGAAAATAAGGTCGAGGTTTCACCGGTGGGGCTTGCATTACTGATGCCTCTTCAGTTCCAACATGGTTTGTGGCCAGACAGATAGGAAATAAACTTCCATCACACTGAGTTCCCTGTTGCACTCTCCCCATGCCTATCCAATACTGGCTTATGCCGGAAGGGAAGGAAATTGCTTCTCTCCTCTTATTTCTGTGTTCCCAAATCCCTGCCCTTCCTGCAATAGTAGGTCAGAAATATGATCACTTTAAGGAGAACATGGCATCTAAATCTAACAGAAAGTCAAATACACACTTTCTGGTATTAACCCTTGGGTCACTTTATTTTTCATTTAAAACATAATTCTTGTCTTTTGATTTGTGTTAGGAAGATAATACTGTGAGACTATCATGGATTTGAGATCCAGGCAATTCTAGATTTTAAACAGACTTGCAATCAGTAGATTCGTAGTCCTGGGGAAATGAGCACTGGTGAACTTTGGTTTTATCATTTAAAGAATAAGGCTTATAATATAAAACGTTATTTACAGAGGGTAGTTGATTAAAAAGCTGCCACCTTATTAAATAAAAATCGATGTCTCTGAAAATTCCTGCCCACTTGCAATATGTTCGCACCCTAATTGAAGAAAGCGGTTGAGGTTTATGATTACGTTAACCTCATCATGACTCCTCAGTTTTCAGAGTCTCAGGACACATTTCCAGCAGCTTTTCATGACCCACTTCTAGGGGACACCGGAGGTGCTTCAATCATAAAACATTCATTCAGCTCAGCTATTCTACTTTTGGGTGATTTCTCAATGTCTGGAGCTCTGCAGGGTGGGGATCTTCCTCATTTCCCTTCTTTGCTAACTATGCCACCTAAATGTAACTGTTGCCCTGTGTAGATCTTTAGTCTCATCTGTTCTCTGGTTCTCAAGGTTGAGATTCCTTATGAAAACAGAACTCTTGGGTCCCCCTTCCCTGACATCTCAGACTTCCAAGTGGCTATACAGGTGAGGCTATCACTAGACCCAGTGCCACCTGTGTAACCAAAGTGTCTCTACATCTTCCAACCTCCTGTTTGTTTTAATGTACAAATAACCATAACCCAAGCCCCAACGCTGTGTAACTGCAAGAAGTCTCATCCATTTCCTAAGTCATTCTGAGAATCTTGGGGTTCCCCAAGCCTTATTCCTGGTGGCCCCCTTGTCACCTCTAGCTCTGTCACTGCTCTTGGATTCCCTGTCATTTTAGAAATCTTCATGCTGGCAGTTCTCTCTGGTATTCTTCCTGCCAATCTTTGACAAAAGACCCTTCTTTTGAAGGGATCTACAGCACAGGCAATGTGTGCTCATTGTGCTTAACAGACTTTACAAAGAAATGAGCATATGAGAGAGGCACTTGAACACAGATCAACAGAATGAGAAAATGGATGTTAGATATCACGGCTCTGGGCATCCATTAACCAACACTTCACAGAAGACATTACTGGATTCACTTCTCAGCCTCAGTCACACGAAATACTGCCAAGATTTATACTCTTCCTCTGAATCACGGTTCTCCATATGGTGCCCTCCTATGTCAAGTTCAAGACATCTATACCCATATCACAGCCATGCTAGAGAGGGGAAAAATGTAATAAGCATGTATGCATCACTCTAGCAACTTTTCCTTTTTTCTTCTGCATTGTTACTTTTTCTATCCCTTTTGTATCATTCCCACCAATATATAAACAGGCTGTATTGTTTCCGGTGGCTCATGCCTGTAATCCCAGCACTTTGGGAGGCCGAGGCAGGTGGATCACGAGGTCAAGAGATCGAGACCATCCTGGTCAACATGGTGAAACCCCATCTCTACTAAAAATATGAAAAAAAATTAGCTGGGCATGGTGGCGTGTGCCTGTAATCCCAGCTACTGGGGAGGCTGAGGCAGGAGAATTGCCTGAACCCGGGAGGTGGAGGTTGTGGTGAGCCGAGATCGTGCCATCGCACTCCAGCCTGAGTAACGAGCAAAACTCTGTCTCAAAAAAAAAAAAAAAAAAAAAACACCGCCTTAAAACTTAATTGCCTTACAGCTACCTCTCCATTGCTCTTTTCTCTTTTACAGTAACACTTGAAAGTTCCGTCTGTGTTCTGGCCATATTTGCTGGCTCTTCTTCCTCTTTTCTTCTTCTTTCTTGAACTTACTCGATTCCATATATCCTCACTAAGGCACTGACTCTGCTCTTGTCAAGGTTACCATGACCAAACCTCAGTGTCATCTTGCTGGGTCCCGCTAAAGCATTTGACACCCTGACACTGTCTACTTGAAACATTTGATTCTCTGGGCTCTGAGCCACCTTCCTCGTTGGTTTTCCTCTTCTCTTACCAGCAGCCCCTTCTCCTTTGCTGGTTTCTGAATCTTAAACATCAGAGCGCCCAGGGACTCATTCCACAGATAATGTCGTATTCTTTCATTACATGAACATTTAAACATTTACATGCTCACAGAGCCCAGACTTACATCTTTGCCTATTCAGATTAACAACTATGAAGCTCCTCAGGTTAGCGATTACCAAAACCAACTTCCGACAGATCCCAAAACTTGCCCTTTCTCATATCTGGCAACCTCTCAGATATGGCAAACTTAAAATAGATTTATTTAATTTTGTAAAAATGCTTTTCAATTCTATTTGGATGTTGGAATCCTGCATTTGTATCCTAGAACTTGAGAGCTGAAAAGAACAATAGAAATCAACTAATTTAATATTCTCATTTTTTAAGTAAGACGATCTAAACTTAGAGAATTTAAGTCCAAGGTGATCAAGAAGTAATTTTTTTAAATTTAAATTTAGTTATTTAAATGGACTTGGATCACAAACTACTTGAGGGACTTTTAAAAGATCTAATCAAATCATAAATGTAAATAAAAATGTAAAAAATAGGAACTAGAAAAAATATAAATGAAAGCACAAAATCTGAACCATAGTAACAGAATTAACACGTTTTTCTTAACTTTGGAGTGTCGGTAAATGTACTTATTGGTTAGAGAATCATTTCAGGTATGTTCAGAACAATGGAGAGTCTGATATGGCTCAAAACTCAGAAGTGCACTCACCTCTCGGATAGGAGTTCAATTATTAACTTATTTTTAAATGTAATTAATCATCCACATAAAACACTGCCAAACATTTGCTCCTGAGGTTTATTACATATTCACAATAGGCTGGAGCTATTTGGTATTGCCAAGAATATATTTTTTAATTTGTTTGTTAGGCAATTGGTCCTGAATAATAGTTTATTGAGATGATTAATCATTTGAGATGGGTCTGTAGACATGGGCACTGCGTTATATATCACATGTCATTTTCATTCATAGGGAATGAAACAATATTCGTTTTTTGGAAGTGATTTATCATTTGCAAGTTGTATCTGCTATCTATGTGGGCTAGAAAAATGGATGGATTGTCTTATTAAAAATTCTGCCCCTTTTGCTCTTATATTCTTGGCATGGAGAAAAATCATGAGCAGGGACTACTTGGTATCCCAACATTAAGCTATACTGAATTACCGGCTGGAAAGAAAGGTTACAGATGAGTTCCTTTGTTATCAGATAAGTGAAGTGTATGCCCATATATTCTTTGTTTAGAATACCCACTTACTATTTAAATATACTGTGTCTTTTTCCAGTAGGATGGGGAGTAATTCGGGTGAAATGCCTTGAGTTGAGTCCTTTTTTTTTCTTTTGATGCAATTGCTGCCAGCTCTCAGTGACATGTAATCTCAAAGTTAAAGCCGTTGGTACTTTTTATGAAATGCCACTCTCACCACCTGATAAGTTCCCCAGTTCCCAGACTATCATTATGAAATCTGGTCACTAGGGCCATCATGATTGGTAGGATGACATTGGTAGAATGACAGTCTGGTGACAGTGGTAGGGTGTATACTGTAATCCTAACAGCATTCCTCACATGAGGCTGGAAGGAACTTTAATCAGCTAGCAAGAGCAAAGAGCTGTGTATTCGTGTCAGTTCTCTTGACTTGGGGGTGGAAGAGACATAGAACTGTGGTTGCTGTATAGTCTCCAGACTGTTTCTCTACAGCCTTTGAATTATATCACCCTCTGAATAGCTTCCTCATGATGTGGACTGAGCACAGGGCTTTATGACCAAACTTGCTGTACAATCCTAGCACTGCTGATTCCTCAAGGATCTAAAACCAAAATATCCTTTGACCCAGCAATCCCGTTACTGGGTATATAATCAAAGAATTATAAATCATTCTACTATTAAGATACATGCACACCTATGTTTACTGCAGCACTGTTCACCATAGCAAAGACTTGGAGCCAACCCAAATGCCCATCAATGATAGACTGGATAAACAAAATGTGGCACATATACACCATGGAATACTACGCAATAATAAAAAAGATGAGTTCACATCCTTTTTAGGGACCTGGATGAAGCTGGAAACCATCATTCTCAGCAAACAGGAACAGACAACCAAACACTGCATGTTTTCACTCATAAATGGGAGTTGAACAATGAGAACACATGGACACAGGAAGGGGAACATCACACAGTAGGGCCTGTTGGGGGGTGAAATACGTAATGTAGATGACGGCTGATGGGTACAGCAAACTACCATGGTATGTATATACCTGTGTAACAAACCTTCACGTTCTGCACATGTATCTCAGAACTTAAAGTACAATAATAATAAAAAAAGAAAACCTAGCACTGTGAGTTACTGACTGTGTATCTCTGACTATGTCATTAACCTCTATGAGTTGCAAATACCTTATATGCACAAGACAGATAAAAACAGGCATCTCATATTATTGTCTTAAGGGCTCAATGAGCACTTGCATAGAGAAAAGTTTTCATAATCGGTAGTTACTGCTGATATTTGAGATAAGCCTAGGGAAAATAAATTAATCTAGCTGAATCTCAGGATTCTCCTGTGTAAAGCAGGGGATAAAACTACTACTTTTGGAGATTTTCTTTGTGGGTTTTTGATGTAATGTACGTAAAACACATAACCCAGTATCTGGACATATTAGGTGATCAATCATTTTATCAGATCCACTAACTTCAGCCTCTAATGCTTAGAAAAACATGGTTTTAAAAGACTGTTTGGACTGATATTCTTGATGGGTAAAGAGCTAGTATATTATACAATAAGAAGCATGCATTACCTGGGTACTAATTCTAACTGTGCTATTTACTAGTCTAGTAAATTAAGCAAGTTATATAACCTCTCTGTGCCTCCGATTCCTTATCTATATACCTATGTTGGAATTGAGAGAATTAAAAGAACAAACATATGAAGTATATTCGATGTAGCACCTAATACACTGTACTGTTGAATAAGTATTTGCTATCATTATTCCCTGTAAGAAGGTCCAAACACCAACTTTTTAAATTTACACAAACACATGTCCACACACATACATGCATGCATGCATGTTCTCACCTGCATGAGAACACTTCTACCATGCTTGGCTAAGGCTAACCAAGAACAGGCAATAGTTCACTCAATATTGAATTTAGCTGAGAAATTAGTTATGAATTATGTGAAAAGTGGAATCTAATAAGGTAAATTATTTTTCCTCATTACAGGGCTGATGAGTATTATATTGAAGACACACCAATTTATGGTAACTTAGATATGATTTCAGGTAAGTTTTCCATAAATTACATTTATAAACAAATCAAGTAAATCCCACTTGGTTTCAAAATAATTTAAGTGGCACTTAAAAAAATCACAATCACACTTAGATACCCAGTGGTAGCCATCAATTCAGGTACTTTCAGTATGTTAATTAGTCTGTATTTCCAAAGCTGCATATTGTAAGTTGTATTACAACAGCCTCTCTCAGTCAACATCCTGTTTCTCTATATTCTCATTTCACTTCAGTAGTGATAGAATACAGGAAGACTATTACCGCGAATTCTGACACACATCAAATGCTATGAAATAAAGCTGTTTCTAGACCAGAAAGTGGTCCACAGAAACAGTGCTTCGTGCTTGGTAAACAAAAGCAAACATGTAGTGAATAACACAGAACAATCAACAGTTTATTTGGTTTCCCATGTTTTAAATCGAGAATGCAGGGCTGGAATGATGGCAGGTGGGAGAAAGAGGAACTAAATTGATGCTGAGTGGTTTACATATTTATTTTGTTCTTAAGTGCTCTTCAATTCCCAGAATCCCTTATCATTTGTATCATCTCAGACACCTAAAAATAAAGCACCCCTAAATTTCTCAAGACAGATAATCTTGGTCTGATCCTAGAGTTCTGATGATAGAAACTGCCACCCTTTGCCTGCAAGTACTCATTCAATATATCAGAGAGACCTAGGGGTTAATTACTGTTGAACTCCAAATTTTGAACACAGAGACATCCAGTAATATACTAAATTTATCTAAATATCTATATATTACAACAGTATAGAATCATCCTAAAGTTAGAAATGTGAGAATTTTCTTTTATTATATGATTTAAGAATGTATTTTTATCTTTTCTTTCATTGTAGAGTGTCCTCTAGCACTGGAAGGAATCAAAAATTATTTTTTGGAAACATACTATTAAAAATAATTTATCCCCATTTCACTTCGCAAAATCATGCTGGCCATCTGTAATATTCAACTGCTCAAATTCTGGTGTATTCTGGTGGCTCCAAACCCATCACACCCGTAACTTCCATACTTAAGTAAGCCCAGGTGCCACTTGCACAGATTCTGATTTAGCAGGTCCAGGCTAAGGCTCCGGAATCTGCTACTTAACCTCCCAGATGATTCTGAGGCAGATTTTCCGTGAACCATGATTTGAGAAACACCACTCTACATACCCTTTTTCTGTTGCTTTTCAGAAAGGGCTCGATGATTATTAAGTTGCTTTGGTTATAGTAAACATGTCTTTTTCTCTCTGAGGGTCAAAGTGGTGCAGTCCACACTTCTGCCAGGTTACCAGCCATCCTATGAGTCACTATTTCTCTTTCTTCCTTGTAAATGGACCGTCTGGGGGAAGGCAGGTGTGAATGATTCAAAGATATGGCCCTGCAGGATTAAATGAGCACAGATCTGCTGGACCAGCATTGTGCAGCCCCAGACCCTTACACAGTCTGGCTGAGACGTCCTGTCACTGATCGATGGAACAAGTCATAATCTAAAGCCTCTATTTCAAAATTAGAATGCTGGACTTAAAATGCCTCTGAGTAAAACTCCTTACTCAAGGAATAAATTTCAAAATTCTAAACTGATGTATGTGCACTGTGCTCTGTGCCACCATGCACCATTTGCAGTCTATCCAAATGGAGAATACAGGCAATCCTTTAACCTGTGGGATCTCTGTAACATCCACATGGTAGTTTAAGACTGTCGTGTCCTGCAATGGTATAAGTCATATGACTGACTTCTCATGCCAAGGACGTACCTTTATCTTACTAATCCTATAGCTCAAAAGACTTCGCTGCCTGATCTGCAGGTGACAGTTTGGGCTTGCTTACCTCTTTCTATCTCCCCCAAAGAGACTAGTTAAGTGATTTTTGGGTGGTTTATATTTGCAGCCAAATGTTGTTTGGATCACATGTTTTTATTCATACTAGATTTTTTAAATTTTCTACTATAAATTACAATCTTTTTAACTCCCAAGAACCAATGGATGAAAATTGCTATGAACAAATGAAAGCCCGACCAGAGAAATCTGTAAATAAGATGCAAGAAGCTACCCCATCTGCACAGGTGAGTTTTGTTTTCTGTTTCCACATTTGCATGTTTCAAGAGCATAATAGCAGTACATTATGATACACATCTGAAATAGCCTGTTAGAAAGTTTACCGTCAATCAGGTGTCAAGTTCTAGGTCCTGAGCTCTAATTCGGAGGCATATAAACAGAACTCAAACCATATTCAAAGAGTCAGTTGTATACAATCACAAAGACAATAGATTAGTTAGGAATAATTTCATTATTCCCTCAAAATCTATTAAGTTTTTTCTGTCTGATTGAAAATTTTGTGTGTGTCACAGAGATAAATATAGAAGTTGACACATGGCTAATGCTCACAAGACCTAAATGTCAGGGATTCAAAAGACAGAGCTGGAGTAGGGAGAGGGAGACCTTAGAGAGTTAATCAGAAATCCTAGTAATAAAGTGAGTTCACAAATCCTAGAAAATTGGAGGAATACAAGTGTGAGCTTGCTCCTCTTCTCTTTATGTCCAAATCTCTAATCTTTTCTTCCTGTATCAGATGCATCCTTTCTTCTTTCCAAAGCCAAAGCTCTTATTCATGATCTTGACCATTTCTCCTAATTCTTTCAGGATCTTGTACTTTCAATTATTTTGATTTTTCTCATTTCCATTTTTTAATAACTCAATACTATTTACCTAACAATATGCAAAATCCCTCCAATATTAAAAAAAAAACCTTACATCAACCTGTTTTTCTTTCTAATTTCTAAACTGATTCTTAACTTCTTTCTCTATTGCTTAGATTTCTTTCCATTGATACACATTCCTTTATTCTGATGATGTGTTTTTCACTCATACACTTAACTAACACCGCACTGTGGAAGTCTCCAGTGACTATGAAACATACAACTTGTGGTCCTTTCTTAGGACTCGCACTGTTTACTCTGCAGCACTCAATACAAGTTGACCAACTGTTGATCACGCATATGTTATTTGGAATGCTTTCAGATATAAATAAACAAAACACATTGCGATTAAATTAGAAATAACTGGACGACAGTAGATGGCAGTGTGAAGAGACTAGAACACAGATCCAGTCAGGCAGCTATTATAATTTTTCCAGAAATGAGGCTATTAAGAATAAAAACTTGACAAAAAGCAAAAAACAAAACAGACAAACAAAAAAAACCAGCATGGTAAGGCGTGGTGGCTTACGCCTATAATCCCAGATCTTTGGGAGGCTGAGGCAGGTGGATCACCTGAGGTCAGGCCTGGCCAACCTGTTGAAACCCTGTCTGTACTGAAAATTAGCTGGGCGTGGTGGTGGGGGCCTGTAATCCCAGCTACTCGGGAGGTTGAGACAGGAGAATGACTTGAACCCAGGAGGCGGAGGTTGCAATGAGCTGAGATCACACCACTGCACTCCAGCCTGGACAAGAGGAAAACTCTGTCTCAAAACACACGCGCGCGCGCGCACACACACACACACACACACACACGTATCCGGCAGAGCATATAAAACATTTCACTCTTAGCATGAAAATAAATGCCAATGGGGAGATGCTTACTTATACATTAGAAATGAAATGTTAATCCAAATGTTGTTTCTTCACCCTTGTCCCTGCAAATCAATACAATTTTGGCCTAGTCTTAAAGAATAATGCATAATACATACATCTTTGGTTTTTTCAATGGCTGTCTTCAGTTTTAGTCTACACCTTTTAATAATTACAATGCTACCTTACTTTTGGATAACAGTTATGGCTTCCACATACATTATCTCTATTTACTAACCATACCAACCCTACGATGATGATTCACGTTTTCTAGGCAAGAAAATTGAGGCTCAGAATAGTTTTTAAAAACCTGCCAAGGCCCCATGATCACTGCATGGCAGAGCTGGGATTCAGTCGTAGTCTTTCCAACGCCAAACTCAAGGTCTTGCCTTTAGCATATTGTTTCCCCTAGATAACCTAGTTTCCTGTCTTTCTCATTTTAGTACTGACCCAGCTCTAGTCCAGAGAAGCCCACTGGGCCATCTTGGATGTGAATGGACATCTCCAAGGCCAACCTAAAATGAGCTCAAAAGGGATCTGGGGAAGGCAGATAAGAAAATAATAGGGAAAGATAAATTTAGTTATTTACGAAATATCTATCATATAAGTGAATATTGTTATCTTTATACTTCCAAATCTTGAACATGTAGAAAAAACTGGGGACTGTTGTGGTACCATTAAATGACCACTTATTAGGTACATGTAGAGGAGACCTTGTTTGTTTCTATTTTAATAAACTAGAGTATTGTTACTTGGTAAGAGAAATGTAGGGCCAGAACTACCTTAGGTGGAAGGTAGGGCAGGTAAGAATCAACCTGAAATGTTCATGTACAGTTAGAGTACAAGAAAGAAAGAAAAATGTAGGAAAAAGCTTTGTCTAAGCACTTTTTCAACTCAACAATGCTGGTTGACTATCGTTTTCTGTTGTTTTTGTTTTTGTTTTTTGTGCTGACAGATTTGACAAAACAAGGTAGATGAGGCCCAGAAACAAGTTACTTGGTTTTCACAGGCCATAGAAATTTCCAGAAGTCAAGTTAAAGAACAAAATAACAATGAGAAATTTACATCCCTTTCTTTTAGGCAACCAACGAAACACAGATGTGCTACGCCTCACTTGATCACAGCATTAAGGGGAAGCGCAGAAAGCCCAGGAAACAGAATACCCATTTGTCAGACAAGGATGGAGATGAGCAATCACATGCACCGGATGCCAGCATTTCTAAGACCACCTTAGTAGACAGTTTCTCCCCAGAAAGCCAGGCAGTAGAGGAGAACATTCATGATGATCCCGTTAGACTGTTTGGATTGATCCGTGCTAAAAGAGAACCTAGAAACTAGCTGGACCATGATCTAGCTCAATGATTTGGCTCCTGCTGAAGATGGTTGCTAAAAAAACAAGATCCACGGAGGCCACAGAAGGACCTGGTGGCGGGATGATGACCTCATCTGTTGATGGGATGGTGGCTTACCTCTTATTCAGAGCTTACACTTACGCATGCCAAATGTAACACCATGAAAACCAGCATTTCAAATAAGTTAAAAAATGCTTAACTACTAAAATGTAAAGCCTTAATGTGCTCACCTCAGCAACACATATGCTAAAAATTAATAAAATCCAGTTTGAAAATTGAGCCTGATAACAAAATTACAAATTCACAATACCTAATACTTAGGGAAATAAAACAAAATTTAAGCATGAATGTATTCTGGAACACATTAGAAGAAAAAGCCAATGAGTCTTGTTCTTTTAATTCTCCTTTCTCACCAATGGGAAACACCCCATAATTAAAAGAAATTTCTGATTGAAAGGTATAGGAAACATTAAAATGCGTTACTAAGAGAAGTAATATAATCTTCCTACAAGGTATTTTTCCCAAAGATACCTTTACTATTTCAAAAATTGTCAAATTAATGTATGCTCCTTGCAACAGCAAAGAAATATCAAAAAGAGTTGAGAAATTCTACTAGAGACAATCACTTTGAAAAACTTTCTATATATCCTTCTAAATATTTTTCTGAGATGCTTATATGTATACATCAGCTGTTTCTCTTTTTTTTTTTAACCAAAATTGTGTTTTATTTTGTACACATGACTTAAACTTTCTTAACAATATATTGTGGATTTATTTTCACTGTTATATTTAACTATATATAAATACACTTATATATCATGATTTTAATGTCTGCGTAGCACCACTGATAACCAAATCAGAGTTTAAATAATTTTAATGACTTTAAAAACAATTTATTGATACAAAAAGCAAGGTTGAGATGACAATGTTTCTTTCAGTAATTAAAAAAATATTGCTTCACTATCTTCTCACTGTTTCTGATGAAACGTCTACTGTAATACTTGTCTTTCTCCTTATGTGTGATATACATTATTTTTCTGATTAAGATTTTTCTTATTACTGGTTCTAATTTGATTATAATGTGCCAAGGTATGGTTATTTTTCAAGTGTCTTGTGTTTGGAATTTGTTGAGATTCTTAGATCTATGTATTTATAGTTTTCATCAAATTTGGGGGGAAATGACCAATTTTTTTTTCTGTGACCCTTCGCATTTTCAAGTTTTTCCATTACTTGCAAATGGTCCCACATTTTACTTATCTGTTTATTTTATTTCATTCTTTTTTGTATTTCATTTTGGATAGTTTTTCTTGCTATGTCTCCAAGTCTATGAATCTTTTCTTCTAAATCATCTAATCTGCCATAATCCTAGATAGGGACTTTTTAATCTCAGGTAACTTAGTTTTTATTTCCACAAATTTAGTGTGGGTCTTTTGTCCCCCATCTTTCATGTCTCTATCTAACATACTTAATCTCTCCTCTAACTTCTTGAATGGATGAATACAATGATAACAACTGCTTTAATGCTTTTTAAAATGTACTACTTCTATCATCTGTCACTCTGAGTTTCAACTGATTTATTTTTCTCATTGTGGGTTATATTTTTCTGCCTCTTTAAATGCCTTATGATTTTTGATTGGGCAGAAAACACTGTAAATTTTCCTTGGATTGGCCATGCATACCTTGGTATTCCTATAAATGTTTTTGAGCTATGTTTTTAGCTAGTTACATAGCTCACTGAAAACCAACAAGTTACTGAAACATAATTTGATCATTTAGAATCTTGCTTTTAAATTTTGTTAGACTAAGCCAGAACAGTTTATAAACTAAGTTAAATTTAGTTTATTATGAGGAAAGTCCTTCTTAGTACTTAGTACCACTGTTCGTGAATTATGAGGTTTTCCACTTCAGCTGTTGAAAACAGACACTATTCCGTGTCATGTCTGAGTCACAGCACTGTTTTCTTTATTCTTTTCAGGTGGATTTTCCCTCACGTTTGGGTAGTTTTCTCACTTGCATGCACTAACCAGTATTTAACTGAACACTCGAGGGCAATTCCTCAGGTACCTCCAGAGTTCTCTCTACATGCAGCTCTCTTCTCTCCAGTACTCTGCCTGTTTGACTTCTCTTGACCTGGAGCGCCATCTCCTCAATTCAAGAGATCGATGGACTTTTACCTAGGTTTCCTCTACCTGCTCCTAGGCCTGAAACTTTCCTTCAGGCAATAAGATAGGGTGGTACGAGGGTTTACCTCATTTGTTTCCCTTTTTTTTTTTTGAGATGGAGTTTCGCTGTTGTTACCCAGGCTGGAGTGCAATGGCACGATCTCGGCTCACCGCAACCTCCGCCTCCTGGGTTCAAGCAATTCTCCTGCCTCAGCCTCCTGAGTAGCTGGGAATATAGGCACACACCACCATGCCCAGCTAATTTTTGTATTTTTAGTAGAGACGGGGTTTCACCTTGTTGACCAGGATGGTCTTGATCTCTTGACCTCGTGATCCACCTGTCTCAGCCTCCCAAAGTGCTGGGATTACAGGGGTGAGCCACCGTGCCTGGCCCTTATTTCCCATCTTTCAGGGACCCTTGTCCTGCATTGCCTGAAACAATGTCAGGTGCCATTGTTTCGTCTACTTTGTCAGGATTTTAGTAGCTCAGCCAGCAGAATATGTTCAGGTAGGAGGGTAAATGTAAGATGTTATTCTATCTTGGCCAGAAGCAGAAATCCAAGGCATTCTTACCACTTTACTGTAATTCTATAGTATATTTTTAGTGTAATTTAGTATAATTCCATAAGCTAACCAGCACTATTTGAGATGTTCATAAGCTATGAATTACTGATTATCATGTAATTATTAGGGACTAGATATACATCCCCTGGGGCAGTTCTCAGGACTCATGTTCCAGAAGAAATACAGAATGAAGATCCCTCAGTAACAGTATTTGAACCAGAAGTGTTTCTGATTTTAAAATTTTTGAATATTCATATGTAATGAGGTGTCTGAAGGATGGGACTTAAGCCTAAACAGAAAATTCATTTATGTTTATATACACATAGCTTGAGGGCCATTTTATGTAATATCTGTAAATAATTTTGTGTATTCATCACATAATGTCAGATGTGGAATTTTCCACTTCTGAAGTCATGGCACTCAAAAAGTTTTCCATTTTGGAACATTTTGAATTTTGGATTTTCAGTTTATGGATCCTCAACCTGTATCATTATAAGCCTTAACATTTCAACTGAAAAAAAAAAAAAAAATGTGTACGTAGGAAAAGGAAAAGAGAATTTACGGCCAGTAAACAGATGAATTCAAAGTCCTGAAATTTTCACTGACAATGTTTTAAAGTTGAGCTCAAAATCTCAAGAATAGAAGGGATAACTCATTTCCTTTTGGTATTAAATGGCTTATTTCTGCACAGCAAAGTGTGGGTGATTATTAGACATATGCTTTAAATCTTTCTCTGAGGTTTTGTCATTCGATAAACAGAACAGACAATTTATATTAACACAGAAAAATAGCACATCGACAGAAAGGAACAGGACAGAATGTAAATTCAACAGTGGCACACTTCTAGACGCTGCCTGCCATTCCTTTAACCTCTTCTGAGGGGCTCTTGTGCACCCACTCGCAGCTTCTACTGCCCGGGAAGTCATGGCTGACGGTAGCTGAATCAAGACAGGAGATTCTCTTTTTGAGTTTCAATAAAACTTTATGTACAAAAAGAATCAGTCCAGATGTAGCCTAGAGGCCATAGTTGGCTGACTCCTGGCAAGATCATCTGTTTCACTAGTGGCTTACAAAATGCTATTCTAGTCCTGTTATTCCTTCTTCATGTATTAGTTGGAATATATTATTATTATTATTATTATTTTTTTTTTGAGACGGAGTTTCGCTCTTGTTACCCAGGCTGGAGTGCAATGGCGCAATCTCGGCTCACCGCAACCTCCGCCCCCTGGGTTCAGGCAATTCTCCTGCCTCAGCCTCCTGAGGAGCTGGGATTACAGGCACACGTCACCATGCCCAGCTAATTTTTTGTATTTTTAGTAGAGACGGGGTTTCACCATGTTGACCAGGATGGTCTCGATCTCTTGACCTCGTGATCCACCCGCCTCGGCCTCCCAAAGTGCTGGGATTACAGGCTTGAGCCACCGCACCCGGCCTAGTTGGAATATATTATAAGAAGAAGACAGTAGATTCATCTTTGAACCAATCTAGATACAAGAGACTGGATAGTGATCAGAACCAAAAAAAAAAAAAAAAAAAAAGAAAAAAAAATGCCATAGACAGAACTGGAGCTAAGCAGGATACAAATACAAGGGAGAAAGAAACAAAGAGTAAGATGGCAGAGACTGGAGTTCAGAGCTCCATTAACTAATCAGACTAATCACATATCATGACAATGACAAGTTATATTTATTAAGAACTTACTAAATGTAAGACACTGTGACAAGTGCTTACCTGCATACTGAATCACACAACACCCTAAAAGACAGATGCTATTAAGTCCTAATCTTAAAGATAAAAAAACAAGACTAATAAAAAGTAACTTGCCTGATGTCACACAAACCGTAGGTTCAGGATTTGAATATAGGTAGTCTAAGTCTAGAATTTACTCGTAGAATAGCTGATTTCTAGAGTTAGGTTTAAGTACTCACTCTTGGGGCCTATTTCCTAATTATCTCTGTCTCCCATCTATTTAATAATAGTAATCTCTCTATTTTAAGTGCTGCACCTGCATTTCTGTTATTTCAAATCAAAAGAGGCTAACTAAAACAAATTGAAAACAATTCTTTTTTTTTTGTTGTTTTGAGATGGACTTTTACTCTTGTTACCCAGGCTGGAGTGCAATGCCGCGATCTCGGCTCACCGCAACCTCCGCCTCCTGGGTTCAGACAATTCTCCTGCCTCAGCCTCCTGAGGAGCTGGGATTACAGGCATGCGCCACCATGCCCAGGTAATTTTTTGTATTTTAGTAGAGACGGGGTTTCACCATGTTGACCAGGATGGTCTCGATCTCTCGACCTCATGATCCACCCGCCTCGGCCTCCCAAAGTGCTGGGATTAAAGGCTTGAGCCACCGCGCCCGGCCCCTTGAAAACAGTTCTTAAAAATAATGACACTTTATGGCAGCCTGTACACACTAACAGCCTTTCTAATTTAGGAAAAATCCAACAGGAAGTCCAGTTAAATGACAGTCTGTTGCTTTCAACAAACACTAAGACTTACATCTACAGTAATATTTTCATATTAAAGTATTTTGACAGGAAAGTATTTTATCAATGCCACTTGCTTTAATATGACTTAGCTTTTGTCAGTTTGTATATAAAAGAGGTTATCCCTGCAGTGACCTCATATTCACTCTCCATAAAAACAAAACCCAAAACTAAATTACAAAAAATAAATAAATAAATAAATAAATCCCAATATTGAGGCTAAAACCTAATTTTGTGCCCAATTTTGTCTAATTTTGTCTGTGGAAGATGAAAGTCATCTCATTTGGAATCAGGGAAACATTTGTTATTTAGACCAAAATGGAAGAGAACAGAAAAAGAATCTCAATCAATAGAGTTCTTGGCCACCTCTGGTGTAATGGACACGTGTTTTAAGATGCCAGTATCCATCATCACACTTGAGAATTAAGTAGGTATTTTTCTTCCATCTGCATTGATTAAAAATATAGTTGGTAGATTAACTGAAAAAATTGGGTTACATGAGGTATAACTTTTTAAAGTACCATACACATTTAAATTTAAAATGTATAAACATTTGCTCATTAACTTTTGATATAGGGCCAAGGCCTTGCCTTGAGTAGGTCTATGATTGAAGTTCCATGTCATTTTTCTTGTATAAATATTGCCCATAAAATGCTGTCTACAGTCTCAGTTTTAGTTTTGTTTTTAAGTGAAATGAGAACTTTAAACATTTCTAATGAAATCTAACTGCAGCATTCCTCAAGATTTTT